GGGCACTGCGAGTTCGGGGAGGTGCGGCCCTTCCTCGACCGGGTGGCGCAGAAATTGCCCTTCCCGGCTGTGGCCGTCAGCCGGGAGAGCCTCCAGGAGATGCGGCGGGAGGAGGAGCAGAGGAGGCTGGACAACCAAAACCCCTGGACTTTCGAGCGGGTGGTGACCTCCAATATGCTGGGCATGAGGAAGTACCTGAGCCCCTACGACCTGAAGCTCAAAGGACGCTACTGGGGCAAGTTTTTCCTGAAGCACAGGGTGTGAGGAGGGGCTGGATGGAATTCCTTTTGGGATTAAACGTTTCCACAAGAGCCTGGAGTGGGTTTTGGAGCTGGGAACGCAGGGGCTGGGGGATAAATGGATTGGGGTTTGAACAACATGGCTCTCTATCCTGAAGTGGATTTTAGGGCTGGGAGCATCCTGAGGGATCCATGGATCAGGGTTTGGGGGATGAGGGTCTTTATCCTGAAGTGGGGTTTGGAGCTGGAAGCGTGGAGCTGTTTGGGGGATAAATGGATTGGGGTTTGAAGCACGAGGCTCTCTATCCTGAAGTGGAATTTAGGGTTGGGAGCATCCTGAGGGACCCATGGATCAGGGTTTGGGGGATGAGGATCTTTATCCTGAAGTGGAATTTAGGGCTGGGAACATCCTGAAGGACCCATGGATCAGGGTTTGAAGCACGAGGCTGTCTATCCTGAAGTGGATTTTAGGGCTGGGATCATCCTGAGGGACCCATGGATCAGGTCACAGCCGGGAGGCAGAGTGTGGGTGAGCTCTTTATTGAGGAGGAAGGCTCCAGCATGGGTGGCTGCACATCCAAGGAGCTCCAAGCACAGGGAGAGGCTCCTCCGGCCACCCCGGCAAGGCAGAGCCCTGTGTCCCCCCCGCCCCGCGAGGGACACGGCCCCTCCGGCCGCTCCGTGCCACCAGGAGGGGCTGCTTGTCACAGCGGCCACCGACTGTCACCCGAGAGGAGGAGCAGGAGGAGGAGGGGGGTGTGGGAGGGCAGCAGGTAGCGCAGAGGATGGGCTTCACTCCTCCAGGGACACGTGGGATGTCCTCGGGGATCGGGGCTGGGCCGGGGTCTCTCCCGTGGATCATCCGGGCAGGGGGGCAGGAGGGGGAAAGGCCACCTGTGACAGGGAGGGTGAGGTGACACTCAGGAAGGGGACAGTGCATCCCCAGGTGAATCCAACGCTGGCGAGGCGTGAACCCATTCCCTGGGATTGAGGGGTGCCAGGGACCCCCCCGTGCCACCCCCAGCCCTGTCCCTGTCACCTGGAGGGCAGCGGGTGGGGGGCTCAGGCGAAGATGCTCCCGATGCTGGATGCCAGGATGATGGCGAGGATGATGCAGCACAACATGATCATGATCTTCTTCTGCTCGGGGAGACAGGGAATGTGAGGCAGGGACACGGCTGGGGAAGGGACAGGGACAGGGAACGGGCTGGGGAGGGGGACAGGGGATAAGGATGGAGCTGGGGAGGACGGCAAGAAATGGGGTGGGGGACAACAAGGATATGGGCTGGGCAGTGGGGAGAAAGGGCAGAGACAGGGTAAAGGACAAGGACGGGGGCTGGGGAGGGTGCAGGGCAGGTGTGAGCTGGTTCTCTGTGGCACAGGGAGGTGACAGTGCCAGCGTGCCCTGGGACAGGTGACCAAACACCGTGACTTACCCAAAAACTTGGTGGAGTGGGGGGGGGACAGTGTGGCCAGGGCTCGGAGCTGGGGGTGTCCCCAGCCCCGCGCCTCCTCCTTGTGTCCTACAGCACCGGGAAGCGGGGCCGGTGCAGCCCCCAGGTCCCCGGGCACCGGGAGTCGAGCCGGAGCCGGGCCGGGCTTTGGGTGCTCCCGCAGCCAGCACGGAGAGGAGGCGCAGGGCGGGATCGGCGGGATTTTATTACAGCGGGAGTTAAATATCCATGATAACACATCCTCCTGCCCGGACAGCAAAGCCAAGAGGGGGCGGGGACCCCGACAGCTCCGTCTGCCACAGCGCGGTGACAACAAACCACGCTGGTGCCACCAAACCCCCTGTTCTGTCCCTATTCCCGCCCTCATTCCACCGGGATGCCCGCGCGGGTGAGCGTCCGGCTTTCGGATTTGTGTCCTTGTCACCCCTCGCCGCGTCCCCACGGACGGAATCCTGTCCCCTTCCGTGGGGACATGAGGAGCAGATCCCAGGGAAAGCAGGACGGTCGGGAAAGGAGGCGGTGCTGGAGACACGGAGGGCTGGGAGCGGCAGGTCCGGGAGGAGCAGGGAGAGGAGGGGTCCAGGATCAGAGCCGGGGATGATCCCGCCGGGAGGTGACATCGCTGGGAGCGTCGGGAGCGTCTGGAGGAGGGAAAGGGGAGCTGGAGGAAAGGGAACGGGGACTGCAGCAGGAAGGGGGGAGCGGGGATGGCAGGGAAGAGGCAAAATCCAGAGCCGGGAGCAACACGGATCCCCAAAGAACACAGACCCTCAAGCACTGCAGACCCCGAATAGCACAGAGCCCTGAGCATCACAGACACCTGAGCACTGCAGACCCCAAAACCACAGACCCCAGAGCACCAGGGACCCCGAACATTGCAGACCCCCACAGAACACCCCCAGCACCGCAGACCTGAGATCACCAAAGCCAGAAGGCAGCGGCCCCAGCCCCAAATCCCAAAGCACTGGAGCCCCCAAAGCAGGAAATGGCACTGGGATCCCCCAGGGCTCTGTGTCCCCGCAGTGGGGGTCCCCTGCCCCCCAACACTTACAGACCCCCGCCCCAGGGGCTATTTCGTGTTCAGCCCCACCGAGAGTCCAATGATGAGGGCAACTGTCCCCAGCAAGAGCACGGCCACTGCCACCAAAGCCAGCAGCTTCTGGGGGAACAGGGGCAAGTTGGGGGTGGTGACACCTGTCCCATGTGGGGGGACACAGGGGCACCGAGGTGCTGCAGAGCCCTGGGGATGGGGCAGGAGGGGCTGAGTCCTCACCAGCTCATCACACCTGAGGGTGGGAGGGGGCTCAGGGGAGGAGTGGGACAGAGAGGACAGAGCTGCCAGCCTCCATGGAGTCACTGGGGGCAGGTGGGTGTTCTTGGGGTCAGCTGGGGGATAGGAGGGGCGGCGGCTGAAGGGGGACAGGAGGTGACTGAGGGAAATAAAGGGGTCTCAGGGCTGCTGGAGGATATGGGGGATGCTGGGAACACTGGGATGTGAAGGCACAACAAGGGCTGGAGGGGACAACACTGGGGGTACCTCAGGGATACTGGGGGCTACAGAGGGGACACTGGGGGCTATGCAGGGCACAAGGGAGTGTCAGTCTGTCTCACCCTCCTGGCCTCACTTTGGTACTTCACAGCCTTTTTGGTGTCAGCCACGGCCCGTTCCACAAATCCCACGGACTGGTCCATGTTGTTCTCTATGCGGTCGATCATGGCTCCCTATGGAGCACCCGGGGGACACAGAGAGAGGGGGGGACACTGAGAGCACCCTGGGGTGCTGGCACCCACCCACCTGGCACCGGATCGTCTCTGTGCTCTGCTCCACCTGCTCAGCTCTGCGTTATCCAGAAGCCCACCCTGGGGGAGAAGGGACAGGTGACACGGTGGGGACACGGTGACACAGCCCCACAGCACACGGCAGGTACACACACAGGTACTCACCCATCCCCGGGGCACACAGTGGCTCCTCGCGTGGCATGGGGGACAGAGAGGGGCTGAGAGAGGGGACAACACCACCACAGACTGGGGGACACTCCTGTGTCCCCTCCAGGCCACCACGGGGTGGTGAGTGGCTCCATGGGAACACGTGCAGTGGTCACACCCCAGCCCATATTGCTCCATGCCTGGACCCCCCTGTGCAGGTCCCTGGGCCACTCCATGGTCCTGTGCAGGTCCCTGTGACCCCCACTCGGGTCCCTGCTTGTCCCTGGTCATCCTGTGCACAGGTCCCTGTGTGTCCCCATACGTGGATCCCTTCTCATCCCTGTGACCCTGTGCCCAAATCCCTCATGGCTCATGTCCATGTCCCCATACACAATGGGGTCATCCATTGCCAGGTTCCTGCTTGTCCCTATGCTCAGGTCCCTGTTCACACTGCCCACAGGTCCCTGCTTATCTCTGTGTCCCCATACCCAGGTCTCTGCTTGTCCCTGTGTCCTCATGGCTGGGTCCGTGCGTGTCCCCATGTTCCTGTGGCCAGGTCCCTGTGTGTCCCTGTGTTCCCATGCCCAGGTCCTTGCATGTCTCTGTGTCCCCATACCCAGGTCCCTGCCTGTCCCCATGTCCCCATGCCCAGGTCTCCGCTTGTTCTTGTGTCCCCACACCCGGATCACTGCGTGTCTCTGTGTCCCCATACCCAGGTCCCTGCGTGTCCCTGTGTCTCTATGGCCAGGTCCCTGCCTGTCTCTGTGTTCCCGTGGCCAGGTCTCCACTTGTCCCAATGTCCCCACGGCCGGGTTGCTGCATGTCCCTATGTCTCTGTGGCCAGGTCCTGCGTATCCCTGAGTCCCCATAGCCGGGTCCCTGCCTGTCCCTGTGTCCCCATACCCAAGTCCCTGCCTGTCCCTGTGTCCCCATACCCAGGTCCCTGCCTGTCCCCGTGGTCAGGTCCCTGTGTGTCCCTGTGTCCCCATGGCTGGATCGCTGCATGTCCCCATGTCCCAGTGGCCAGGTCCCTGCATGTCCCTGTGTTCCCACGGCTGGGTCCCTGTGTGTCTCTATGTCCCCATGGCCAGGTCCTTGCATGTCCCCATGTTCCCGTGGCCAGGTCCCNAAAAAAAATCAAAACCACCCCGCAGCGAATTCCTGGAAGAAAAATCCATCAAGGGCCATTAGGCTCCTGCGGCTCCTCCCCGCAGAGCGGGGGCACGGGCGGGGGCAGGGGCGGCACCAGGACGGAGCTGGGCACTGCCCAGGCGTGATTTCCTGATTTCCCCTGCATCTCCTTCCCCAGGAAGGGGTGGGCCTGAATATCTCGGACCCCTGCTGCAGGAGGGGAGGAGTAAAGGGGGTCCCCCACACTTTCCCCCCAAACTGTCTTCATTCCCCATTTTTAGGGCATCCAGCCCCGAGGAGAAGGAGCGAAGAGCTCCAGGCAGAGCATTAAACCTGAAATCAGAGAATAATGGAACATCCTGGGAATGAGAGGGACACACAATAGCACCCTGCACCCCGAAATTCATGGAGGACACCCCTGTACCCCATCCTGATCCAGACAACACCACACCCCCTGCTTGGAATCCCATCATGGGGCTCACAGGGAGGCTCAGAGCTGCGGATCCTGAGAGGAATCCGGGGGTCTGGGAGGGATCCCCATTTCCCTGGAGCAGGAATATTCCACAGGCAGGGAGAAGGGCCTGCTGCCACAGCCAGGGGCCCTCTGGCCAAGTGCAGGACATTCCTGTGCTGGATGCTGTGGCAAGAAGCGGAATTGGGGCTGGGGGTGTCACCCAGCTCAGAGTAGGGTGACAGGGCTGAGAGGGTCCCTTCACTGCCACTCTACACCCATCAGGGACACACACAGTGTCCCCATTCCTCACCTGCAGGGCAGCCCCCATCCCTGTCACCTCTGGGTGATGTCACCATCCCTGTCCCATCCCTGCCAGCGCAGACCCCAGGACAACAGTCAGCACTGAGAGCCACCTGTGGCGACTGGTGACAGAGACTGGCACGGCGAGCACACACAGGGCTGTGACAGGAATTTGGGGACCCCCATGATCCTTCTCCCTAGGGAGGGCAAACACCCCCTCACCCAGAGCACCCCATGCAGTGCCAGGGCTGCAGGGAACAGCACAAAGCACATTCCCCTGGGATCCTCCATGGGGATGGGAATGGAAAACCAGCCCCAGCAATGGCTTTAACAGCTGGGAGGAGGGTGCTGGCCACGGGGCAAGCTGGGTGGGACAGGCCTGTCCCTTGCACCTACCTGGGGCTCATTTCCAGAGTGTCACAGGGATTTGACCCTGAACACTCATCCCACCTTTCCCAGCAGGAGACATGGAAAGTCTGTGAGGAGAGCAAGCCCTGCTCAGCAGCAACCCATGTGTGATCCTCAGCATTCCCATCCTGAATCCAAAGCCAGCTACTGGGAAGGAAGGAACCCTCTTGTGACAGTGAGATGGCCACACGGAGTATACCACACAATTTCAGTGGGCTTCAACCCACACAGAGCAACACCTTTCACCACAGAAGGCTGCAGGCATCTGCTCTCCCTGGTCCTTAGCCCAGCCTTTTATCTCCTCCTCTTGATGCCCTGCACCTGTGTGCCCTCTGCTCCCTTTGGGGTTGCTCAGTGCCTTGGGCACTCCGTGGCTCATTGCAGTCAGTGCTGCTCACAGCTGTGCCATTGGGGATGAGGCTGCGCCCAGCCCCACTCCCAATCACCACAAACTGTGTGGGCCTACCCCCCACCCCAGCCCAAACTCGGTGCTGTGGGGAAATGCGGATTTATTTATAACAGAGCATCCTCAGGAGCATCTGAGCTGCCAGCAGGGGCCTCATCCTGCCTGTGGGAGCCCCCTGGAGGTGGGGGAACTCCAGCTCCCGTTGCCTCTGGAGGATCTTCTCCGACTCGGAGCGGCTGTGCCGCCCTGCAGCGCTGCGGNCGGTTACACCGCGGCCAATGGGGGGGCGCCGGGCCGGGGGTGTCCCCGCTGCATGTCACCTCTGTCACCCGGTGACGTGGAAGGGGAGTGCCTGCCTGGCGCGGCCTCGCTGGGACTTCACCCTCGTCCCAGCCCGTGCCAGGATCCGGGAAGGGCCGGATCCCTGAGGCTCCAGGATCCCCGAGGCCACTCCTGGGCGCTGTGGATTTGTCCCCCCAAAGCGACATCCCCAGGCTTGGCCCTGCTTCGGCGCCAGCACACCCTCCCTATTAATAGCCCTGGCTGCCGGGCTGGGAATGCCGGGCTGGGAATGCCGAGCCCCCTGCACAGCCCTCCAGGGTTCATCCCTGGGATCCGGGGCCTATCCTTCCCTCAGCACAGCCTCACCCTGGGGATCCCAGCACTGCCCTTCCCTCACTGTGGCCTCATCCCGGGGATCCCGGGCCTGCCCTTCCCTCACTGCAGCCTCATCCCGGGGATCCCAGCACTGTCCTTCCCTCATGCAGCCTCATCCCGGGGATCCCAGCCCTATCCTTCCCTCATGCAGCCTCATCCCGGGGATCCCAGCCCTGTCTTTCCCTCAGCACAGCCTCATCCCAGGATCCCAGCCCCGTCCTTCCCTCAGCACAGCCTCATCGCAGGATCCCAGCCCCGTCCTTCCCTCATGCAGCCTCATCCCAGGATCCCAGCCCCATCCTTCCCTCACTGTGTCCTTCCCCTGCAGATCCAAGGCGGAGATGGGCCACACGTGCCGCGGCACCATCAACCTGGCCACGGCCAACATCAGCGTGGAGGATTCCTGCAATTTCATCATCTCCAACGGCGGAGCCCAGACCTACCACCTCAAGGCCAGCTCCGAGGTGGAGCGGCAGCGCTGGGTCACCGCCCTCGAGCTCGCCAAGGCCAAGGCTGTCAAGATGCTGGAGGAGTCAGGTATGGATTTCCTGGATCCATGGCGGGGTCAGGGTGCACTCAGGGTGAAGTCTCACTGCCTGACAGTGCCCAGGGCAGGAACAGTGTCCTCAGAGTGGGATCCCAGTGCCAGCTTCCCAGAGCCCCACAGGTGGCATGAATCCCAGGGCAGGATCCCAGTGCTTGGCAGACTCAGGGCAGGATATTAGTGTTCCACGGGATCCCAGTGTCCCCAGGGCAGAATCCCAGTGCCTCATAGGACCGAGGACAGGATCCCAGTGCCCAGAGAGAAAAATCCCAGCCCCACAGGGCACAGGATCCCAGTGCCCCCCAAGCATGATCCCAGGGCAGGATCACAGGGCACCATCAATGTCCTTAGGGCAGCCTTTGAGTTTCTCACAAACTCAGTGCCCCTAGGGCAGGATCCCAGGGTCCCACAGGACCTAGGGCAGGATCCCAGTGCCCTGGGCAGCATCCCAGCATCTCCAGCAAGAAGGTTTGGAAGGGGATGGCCATGTCCATGCACATGTGACCCAAACCGCCTGGCATGCACAGAGATGGACCATCAGACCTCAGGGCTTTAGGGATCCCCTGTGCCCTTCCTGGCAGCCCCATCACCAGCTCCTGGTGTGACATGGCAATCCCGTTTTCCTGGTCCTTTCCGACCTGCAGATGACTCCGGTGACGAGTCGGTGTCGCAGACGGACAAGACGGAGCTGCAGAACACCCTGAAGATTTTATCCAGCAAGGTGGAGGACCTGAGCACCTGCAACGACCTGATCGCCAAGCACGGCACGGCCCTGCAGCGCTCCCTCAGCGAGCTCGAGGCCCTGCGGCTCCCCCCGGAGAGCACGGACAAGATCAAGCAGGTCAATGAGCGGGCCACGCTCTTCCGCATCACCTCCAACGCCATGATCAACGTGAGTCCCCATCCCAGGGATCCCAGAGTGGGAAAACTCCCCATTTCCATGCTGAGCACCGTTTCCCCGCAGGCCTGCCGGGATTTCATGCTCCTGGCACAAACGCATGGGAAGAAGTGGCAGAAGTCGCTGCAGCAGGAGCGGGACCAGCGGATCCGGCTGGAGGAGACGCTGGAGCAGCTGGCCAAGCAGCACAACCACCTGGAAAGGGCTTTCCGGGGGGCCACGGTGCTCCCCGCCAGCACGCCCGGCACTGCAGGCTCTGGCAAAGGTGGGGAGGGACAAGTGCTGTGCCCAACTGTCTCCCAGACGCTTCCTGGGATTTTCCAAGCTTCTCTCACTGCGCTGATCCCAAATGATGTGTCTGTCCCGCTCATCTGTGTAGCCAAGTGATTCTGGCATCCCCAACAGGGCCCAAACTGGCTCCTCTGAGCCTTATCTGACACCCCTCAGGGCTGGGGTAGGGATGATGGTAACAGGGGAGCCTTCACTGGGAAACTGGGAATGATTTTCCTTCCTCACCAGCCCTGTCCCCTTTCCCAGATCTGTGCTGCCCTGCCAAAGGCGACCTGAGTGACGAGGACGACGACAATAACGAGTTCTTTGACGCCCCGGAGATCTTCCCCATGCCCGATGTCATGGGCCACAAGTGAGTTCTGGGGGAGAGGGGAATCCCCTCGTCCCCTCGCTGCTCTGCCCCCCTTGGGAATGCTCACCCCCTTTCCCCCTTCCCAGGAGAACTGGGAGCAACATCAGCGGCACCAGCAGTGACATCAGCCTGGATGAGCAGGTGGGATGGGGTTTTATGGCTTGGGGCTGCCCAAATTCCCATGGAAGGGTTTTGTGGGGTCACAGGGATATAACAGGCTTTGCCCTTTCTTTCCCTAGTACAAGCACCAGGTTGAGGACACCAAGAAGGAAAAGAGGACCCGCATTCCCTACAAACCCAACTACAGCCTCAACCTCTGGAGCATCATGAAGAACTGCATCGGGAAGGAGCTGTCCAAGATTCCCATGCCTGTGAGCACAGATGCAGCCGGTGGGCAGGCACAGGGCACCCTGGAGTCCCCTTTTTTTGACCCATTCCCTCTTCCAGGTGAATTTCAACGAGCCGCTGTCCATGCTGCAGCGGCTGACGGAGGACCTGGAGTACCACGAGCTGCTGGATCGGGCGGCGCGGTGCGAGAGCTCCCTGGAGCAGCTGTGCTATGTGGCCGCTTTCACCGTCTCCTCCTACTCCACCACCGTCTTCCGCACCAGCAAACCCTTCAACCCGCTCCTGGGGGAGACCTTCGAGCTGGATCGCCTGGAGGAGAACGGATACCGCTCCCTCTGCGAGCAGGTGCGGCCGGCTCCTCTCTGCAGCCTTTCCCGGGCTGTTGGGGTGGCCGGCACTGAGCTGTCCCCGATCAATCCCGTGTCCAGGTGAGCCACCACCCGCCGGCCGCCGCCCACCACGCCGACTCCAAGAACGGCTGGACGCTGCGCCAGGAGATCAAAATCACCAGCAAATTCCGAGGGAAATACCTCTCCATCATGCCTCTGGGTGAGCACCCCAGCAGGGTGTGGGATTTTTGGGACCACCTGAGGCTCCGGATGTGGTTCCCAGCACGATCTCCCTCCCTCAGGCACCATCCACTGCGTCTTCCACTCCTCCGGCAACCACTACACGTGGAAAAAAGTGACGACCACCGTGCACAACATCATCGTGGGGAAGCTCTGGATAGACCAGGTGGGAAGTCATGGATGGGAGGTATAGGGAAGTGTGGATCCCCAGGGAATGGGGCATGGGTGGGTTTGACTCTCCTCTCCCCTCCACAGTCAGGTGAGATCGAGATCGTCAACCACAAGACAGGGGACAAGTGCATCCTCAAGTTTGTCCCTTACAGCTACTTCTCCCGGGATGTGGCGAGGAAGGTAGGGACACGGAGCCATGGGACACACCGGGCTGCTCATGACTCCGGTGTGTCCTGATCCAGGCTGTCCCCTCTCCTGCCAGGTGACCGGGGAGGTGATGGACCCCTCGGGAAAGGTGCATTTTGCCCTGCTGGGCACGTGGGACGAGAAGATGGATTGCTACAAGGTCCAGCTGGGAGCAGGGGAGAACGTAGCCGAGGCGCGGCCACGAGCCCACGAGGCTGAGGACAGCCGGGTGCTGCTGTGGAAGCGGAACCCGCTGCCGTGAGTGGGGAAANTCTCCACCAGCATGGCGATGTCCACGAACATGTCGTGGAGCTCCTTGATGCTGCTCTCCAGGCGCACGATGTCCTTGTGCCGGCCCTCGATCTCGCTCAGCGCCTGCTTCGAGATCTGCGAATCCATGATCTGCAGAGACAGGGACAGGTACACGTCAGCGGGGAGGCCTGGCCCTGGGACACCCCCCGCGTCCCCCGGTGTCCCCCACGTCAGGGCTCACCCCCGAGGTGAAGATGGAGGGGTTCCCACTCTCCAGCATCTCCTCCAGCTCCTCGTCCGTGGTGTTCTTGCCGGCTGCAGGCACGTGGGGAGAGGTGGGAAATAAGGGGCGGGGTCTGTATGGTCTGGCTCCTCCCACCTGACTAAACTTGGTAAAATGGGAGGGGCCTGTGTGGTTTGGCTCCTCCCACTCTAGGAGGAGGTGGGGTTTGATGCCGGGGTCACTCACTGATTTCCAGCTGGCGCTGGATCCGGCCCTTGCTCCGCTCCCGGAAATCCACCTGCGCCTCGTTGTACTTGGTCATGACATCCACGAACTTGCGGGACAGCACCGAGTGCTGGGGACAGGGACAGGGGCGTGAGGGTGGGGACAGGGACACCCAGGGCACGGTGTGACACTGAGGGACTGGACCTGGTCCTGGGGATAGTGTGACACTGAGGGACTGGACCTGGTCCTGGGGACGGGAATATGGAACACCCCAGGCATGGCATATCCCCATGGGCCACTCTCACAGGGGACAGGAGCAAGGACAGAGGTGTGACACTGCCCAGGGGACATGATGAGGGGCTGAGGTGGGGATGGGAAGTCACATCAGTGACATTCTGGGCATGGTGTGTTCCTGGTCCCAGCATGGACAGGAAAACACACTGGGAGTGGGGACAGTGGCATGAGACCCAGGGGACCCTAGATGTGGCATGTCCCAGCACAGGGTGACAGGACAGAGAGTTGGGGACAGGGCAGAGGGACACAAAGGCTGGGATCACAGAGTGCTGTTGGGGACCCCTGGACATGCCACATCCCCAGCCCGTGGGGGACAGGGTGGGACCTGGGGACACTGGCTGAGGGCTGGAGCTGACCTGGGACTTGCGTATCCGGAGGTCAGCTGAGGATCGTGCCTCGTCCTGCTCGATGTTCCTCTCCATGCCTGGAGAGAGACAGACCTCAGCCCACCAGGAACCTTCCCCACTGCCAGCCCCCATGGTCCCAGAGTGCCAGAGGGACAGGGACACCCGTGATACGCGGTGGGGACAGGGCCACTCACTCTTCAGCTTGTTACGGACGCTGTTGGCCATTTTCTTGATGTCTGTCGTCAGCTGCTCCAGATCATCTTTGGTCTCTGTGGGATCACGGGTGTGAGCCACCGTGGGGATGTCCCCAGGGAGGGTCCCCATGACCAGGGGAGGCCGTGGGGACACTGTGACAGCACTCACTCTGCTCTGGGATGGGGGCTGAGAGGATGATGCTGTAGAGCTTCTTGGCTTCCTCCACGTTCTCCGAGATCTTGTCGATGTTCTGCCGGGTCTCCTCAATCTGGGCACGCCCGGGAGGATTTTGGGGGGTTAGGAGGCAGCCCTGCACCCCCCAGCCAAGCTCCCAGCCCTCCCTCACCTCCGAGAAGAACTCATCCATGAAGGCCGTGTTGTCCACGGCGATCTCCAGCTCCTCCTCATCGTCTGCATCCTGCTTCTGTAGGGACACGGTGCTCAGGGGGGACCCCGTGCCCTGCCAGCACCCCCAGATACCCCCCGGGGGTGACAGGGACACGGGGGGAGCAGCCATGGGTTGTGGTGGCACGGGGGGGACATCTGCAGCGGGGCAGAGCGGGAGGGGTGAGCCCAGCTCACATCTGGCCACACATGGCTGGGAATTAAGGGATTGCTGGGCTCGGCCAGAGGGAGGGAACGGGGACAGCGATGGGATGGGGACAGCACGGGGTTTATGTCCCAAACCATGGCCCTACAGCAGCTCTGGGGCAGCCCTGGGGGACACGAAGGTGGCTGCTGCCCCTCACCCTGGTGTGGTGCCCAGGCCCCCCCCACCATGTGCTCCCAAATCCAGCCCTTCCCAAAACTCAGCCTCAGCCCTTCTGCCTCCCCTCGCCCCCTGAGCTCCACCAACACCCCGGGGGTGCTGTTGGGGTGTCCTGCAGATGGGGACAGAGCCCAGGCTGGGACCCCCCACCCCCCTCCTCCTGCTGCTGGAGTAAAAATAAAATTAATCCCTTCACTCCCCCCGAAGCCTTTATCTGCTGGCTCCATAATCCCGGTAAATCCCTGCCAAGCCTCCCTGCCATGCCTAGGGGCCCAGCCCGGACCTGGGGGCCTGCTGGGACCCCCATGGTTCGTGGGGAGCAGGGGGAGCCCCCAGGAGTGCCCGGGGGGAAGTGGGGCCCCAGGCGGAGCGGGAAAAGGGAGAAGGAAGCGGTCCTGGTGGCGGGAACACGGGGACGTGTGGGCTGCACAGCGGGGAAGTGTGGGGGGCACAGTGGGGTGTGGGCACCCCAAATCCGCCGCCATCCCCGCAGGTTGGACACCCCCGACAGGCCAGGGGTGCACCCTATAGTGTGGGGGGGACAGGACTCAGCTGGGGGGTCACGTCACCCCAAAACACCCACCGTGTCCCCAAACCTCACAGGGATGGCACCCCAGTCCCTCCCAGCTGAGACCCCCGTTGGAGGCAGGCTCAGGGTCCCCCACCTGCTGTGGGGTGACCCCCGTGACAACCCACGCACACCAGGGTGGGGTCTCGGTGCCATCCCCCTGTGATGTCCCCACCCACCCACCATGGATTGGGGTGTCCCCAAGACCCCAGCCCACCATGAGATGAGGCCTGACCTCCCCCCATCCCCGTGACACTCCAGCACCGTGGGGTGGCATTTCGGTGACATCCACCCCGTGATGTCCCCAC